ATTCTAACACTTTCACTTATTATGGAATGGTGAAGTTTCTATGTAAAGTAAGTTTTTATTAAAAATCATAAAATATAATGCGTTGATAATATTAAATGATATAATTTTAACAAAAAATTACTTCTTTTTTTCTTTTGTTTCTTATTGTGTGTCTTTGGACATACTTTAGAAGAAGTGTTGTGTGGATATATTTGTAAATTTTGTTTCAAAATGTGTGGCAGACTGCCTTCACCACCAAGAAAGACTATGGTAAGGAGGAGAGGGAAGCTCAATGGGCTCTTGCTCAGAGGACACTGCATGGACTTCAACCACCAGAAACTTCTATCTTCAATGAAAAGAGCAGTTATAGAGAACTTTCTGAGATTGCTGAGCAGGCCAAGAGAAGAGCTGAAGTTGCAAGGTTAGCAACCACATGCCTAGATTCTAAAGTTGTCATCACAATTATCACAACATGAATAACAACACAGATGATATTCCCTCATTCTTCTTCGATTGACATTTAAGGTTTTGAACATGGATTAAGAAAATGATTAGTATTCTAAATTTCATAAAAGGTTATTACTTAACTTCCTAGTATATCCTTCATCTATTATATTAATTATATCATTTATTTGTTAACATCTGCCAAACAAACATTAACTATGAAGGGTAAAATTTTAAAAAAGCATAAACTTTTCTTTGATATGATAAAATGACAATGAAAAGTGAACAAAACAAAATTGCTGAAGTGTCAGAACAAAAAGCGAAGTATCATTATTCATTATTTTCAGAAAAATACTTCTAGTGGAGCTAACATGAAACTTGTCTCTTGTTAACCAACCATTACAGGCTTCGTGAGCTTCATACACTTAAGGGACATGTTGAGTCTGTGGTGAAGCTGAAAGGTCTGGACATTGATACAATTCAGCAGCATTACACTGTGTGATAAACAACACACAAAAGTTGTAGATAGCAAAAAGGCCAGAATACAATGGCTTAAATGAAAGAAGAAGAGTGAAGGAAAAGGCCTAACTACTTAAATGCTTACTAGGTAGGGAGATGAAGCCTGTGATATATCTCTCCCAGTCTATTTATCTTCTTTTTTTTTCTTGAATGTATTTTCAGTTGCAATGAAAGAAATGTCCTAGTCCTAGCCTTCTTTTTGCTTTGATGCTTGGGGAAAAGTAACGTTAGTTTCAATCCTTGCTTTTCTCTTTGATTTTCATATGCTTGTGGGTCCTTCCTCATCCTGGTTTTTCAATGTTTCTTGTATGTCACTTTCAAGTGGCAGTGACTAGACAATGAACTACATATTGGGAATTTTGTGGTGGGAGAATAAGAGTTCATGAAAGCTTTTACGGCATTATGCAAAATTTGAAACTTTGACTTCTTGGTCGCAACATACTTTTTATATTAATTGCTTGCCTTTTGGAAACACTATTCATGTTAAAGAATAATTCTACATCTTATTACTTTTTATTGATACAAATATTCTTAATTATTAAATTAAAAAAGTATTAAGTATATTTTTTTAAAATTTTTTAAGATAATAAAATAATATGTAAGAGGATATAATGAAGCTAGAAAAAAACTTGTATCGCAGTCCCTATGTTTGGATAGGTGCTGGCTTTCCTTCTAGACACTCCAATGCATCATTCAATTAGTGGTTTGTTTGAATGAGAGCAAAATAAAAATAAAAATACCTATAATTGTACTTTTTTGTTTAATTCTTAACGATGCTTATTTTTCTTTTACATTTAACAAGTTCTTTCCACGTTAACATAACCTTAATACATTTTGTCAGCTCCCCTCCCCTATTTCAAAATTGTAATTTTTTCAAAGGTAGAATCTATTTAAAGTGTGTTTCGGCAAAATATTTTAATTATTTGAAAGTATATTTAGTTAACTAAAAAGTTTGTTTTAAAAAATAATATTGTTTGACAAAGTACTTAAAGTGCTTAGCTACTAATATTTTTTTAATGTTATTCACACTAACAATTTTTTTTTTTAATTTAGCTATTAGTTGAAAGTGATTTTGTCATTTTTGTATTTATTATTTTTATATAATTTGTTACCTATTCAATTTCTTAACCCTACTTTCTTTAATTTTTTTACATTGAAAGAAAATAAATAAACATTCACAACAATCATTGTTTTAGAAAATTATAAAGTATTAATTTTTTAAGAAAAATTTAACAAAGTCATAAAATTTTATTATATTATAATAAAATACTGACTAATGAGTGAAATTAAAAATTTATTATCCTAACTTAAAGATGATACATATTTCAAAGAAATTATAATTTTTTGAAAATATATAGATACTAAATTTTAAATTTTGATCTACTTAGTTATGACGCTCTTATTTATCATTTTATATTGATCAGCTAACCTAATTCCTAAGTTTAGAAAGTATTTTTAATTCAATTAGTTAGTACTTCAACTTTCATCCTTCAACTAACATTTCATATTTTAATTAATTTTTCAGATTTTAGTTAACTTATTGCTAATTTTATCAAAAACATTCTTACACGGTCTAAAATTTCTAATTAAAAAATTTAGGGTATATAATTTTGCAAGCGAAATCTATCTGGAAATGAGAAAAAAAATGAAAGAGAGAAAGATAAATAAGTTAAAATCAGAGAAAAATAGGATGAGATAAAATGTAAAATTAGTTAACTAAAGATTAAACATAGAATGATATGTATTTGATATTTATAAAAAATTATTTTAACATATAATATATTTATTAAAATATAAATAAATGTTGATTATAAGATTAAATATTTAATTTATTTTTTAAACTTAATATATACTATTTAAAGGTTATATTCATTGAATTTAGTTTTAAGGTTATTAAGAATATTAAGCATTCAAGACTTATTCTTAGAATAAGAAAAAAAATTATATAATGAAGGTCTAAAATGATATCTCTAACAACTTTTTTCAAGACTAAATTTTATCCATCCAACTATTAATTATTCTAAAAATATCGTATAATTAAAGAGCATAAATATGAAATTTTATACAATTAAATATTTATAAATGTGTAATTCAATAGTAACTATGTAATTAGATTGTAAATAATATACCATTTGTTCAAATATAATGAGTCAATGACGTGTCATATTAGTATATTGAAGTCGACAAAAATTTTGTAAATTTAATCTATTTTATAAGAACGTTAAATTGCATGATTATATTAATAAAATTTATTTCTGATAAAAGAATAATAGAGATATCATTTTACTAGGTGTTTTTTTATCAGCAGAAGGTAAAAAGACAATGACACTCTACAGATGAACAACTCCCAAGGCATCAGCCAGGAGGAGAGGACTGAGTTGAGGAGGAGGAACGACCCAACGACTGAAACTATGAGCAGCAGAAGATTCTTGTTTAGCCATCCAATCAGCACAGCTATTTTCTTCACGTAAAATATGAGAGAAAGATAATGTCAAATTTAATAGCCAAATGATGAAACCTATTAACTCCTTTGATCAAAGCAATAGCATGAAGGGAATATCTAATTCACAATGAACTGTCTTATCCCATATTCCAGGCAAGCATTAGTCCATTATAAATAGCTAAGACTTCAGCATAGATATTATTGGATAATCCACAAAAACCAGAGAAACCCGCGCATCAATTCAACATTAAGTTTGAATTCAGCACGAACCTGGAGTTCGATTCTGAACAACATGCAGAAGAAGAAAACGCTGCAGTTATATCACGTAGCGGAGAATTATTTCTAGATTCAACTTTTCAATTAGGCCACAATGAACTAGAAAAAGCTGCTGAATTAATTCGTTGCAGTCCAATTACACCAAGTTATAACAGCAAAGGTAGTACCATGCTTTTCCTGGACAAAATAATTCAATCCTTGGCATCATTCTAATTGAAAAAGGAATCATGTGAAAAGTGCATATAAGACCAGATACTTCTAGCTTTGATACAATCACTTAGAGAGTGCAGTCAGTGCACTATGGATTGAGTTTCAGCTACACAGCGCTGACATGAAGGGTCATTTGAAATATGACAAGTGACGCGCATGGAATTTGTTAGAAATTTTTTTATTTTCTCCAGAATATGTAATTTCCCGAGCCATTATACCCTTAAAAATTTTATTCGTATATGAAAAATTTTAACTAGTAATATTTAAAATGTTTAAATAATAAATTTATTTAATAATAAATTATTATATTTGTTATATTTAAATAAATTAATAACAATTAAATCTTCAAATAGAAACAAAAAGTAATTAAAATTAAATAAACTAAAATTTAAAAATTAAATAATAATATTATATTAATATTTTTTTTATATTTTTAATTTTATTATGATTAATATTTAATTATTATATTAATATATTATGTTATAATTATTTTTATTTATAATAAATAAAAATTACTTAAATATAAATTGTATTTTATTTGAAACTAAAAATTTATGAAAAATGATAGAAAAATAAAATAAAAAATTTAATATACAATATATATATATAATAGGATTATATAGCAAATAATATAAATAATATAATTTTAAATAAATTATATATAATAATATATTTTTAGTTTGACATGTCTCTCTTTTTTATTAGTATAATTTTTTTGGATATAGTACCTATTAAAAAATTTTAAAGTACCACCACACATACCAAATTAATAAAAAAAATTTATTAATATAAAAAATTCATAAATATCATTAATACGTTATATTATTATGTTGATGGATTAAATTACATATTGCTAACTTATACTAACTGTATTCATCATTCAAATTCTATTAAATAAATATTTTATTAATAAGGATGACGAGCTTAATAATTAACACTTCTGTTTATATATATGACTTTTTTAGTATTTGTAATCTTAATAATTTACTTGTAATGTTTGTTTATTTTCAGTCACACCCTTAATTTTCTGGATCCGTCCCTGCGATCAAACAACTTAATTACACACTCCAACATGACGATGATCCAAACTTGCAACATAATAAATAATACAGAACAACCAGAAATCAATCCAACTTATATAGATACGAACATAAATGGGTCTTCTTTAGAATATTTAGCAGACTACGAATTATCATACACATGCACGCTTATCATAGTCTGTGACCCGAACGTAAAGCACACCAAATAGCATAATACAAGAAGAAACCTTGCATGCATCTATAAGCATGCCACACATACACTGACAACATTACGGGTCTTATTTAGATTATATTATTCAGCAGACTATAGTTACTGCACACATGCATATATATTATAGTCTGTGACCCGTAATTAATAATATTAAACATATATATATAGGCATCGGATAAGATTTCATTTCAGAATTTCTCCTGAAACTAATCATCAGATCCAGTGAGGAACGCCTGTGCCCTCTGTTCTATGTAGAATGGAGGCAGGTAACGGGCAGAGTAAGAAGCATTCCAAACAGAAATGCCTTTGAGAAAACCGCTTTCGATGATTTGTTGGCATAAATCAATGAAGACAGGTGGTGAAAAGTTGACATATTCACCAGGAACAGTGCTGAATCCCACCATTAATTTGTTTTGGCCGAAGACGGTGGATCGCAAATAATAGAAGCGGTGAATAAAGTCACCGACTGTGTGCACGTCCTCAGTATGGAACTGGTAGTTGACCAAGCCAATAGCGGCTTGGTTATCTTGGAACAAGGCGCTGTATTGGGGTAGCACATTACGTGATGGAGTAATAGATACCACATCGACCAGGTTTTCGTTTTTGAGGCGGTTTATAAGTTCCCCAATGCAGTGGTTGAAGTGATCACTATTGATGTACTCATAGTAAACATCGATACCATCAATAATCTTCTCCAGATTCTCATTCTCGTTGTTGTAGCGTCGGAGAATGTTTGTGAGGGAACATTCAGCATTGCGAATCCAGTTTTCGCTGTCAACAGGATTGAAGCTATGATCGGCGCCACGGCCTCCAATGCTTATTACAAACTTTGCGTTCGTATGGGCTTGTTTAAGGCTTCTGATGTCGGCAGGACCGAAGCGCTCGATGTCCCAAGTGGAATTGAAGTGTCCTGTTCCCCTGGGGTTTTCAGCTTCCCCCTGGTAGGTCTCAACGGCAAAGGTTAAAACGAAGTGGAATTCTGAAATATTGGGGTTGATGATATTATTAGGGAAAGGTCGAAAATGATTGGGATCAATATATTCACGAAAAATTGAAGGTGGAGGAGGTGTGGGATTGGAAGAGGCAGGAGTAGAAGACATGGTTAATTGCTAGTTTGGGTGTTTGCTTTGAGGGTTTTGGATGGGGGTGGTGGGAATGACCAACTCTTGTTGCCCTTTTATAACCTGCTCCAGGCTCCAGCTTCTTAATATGCATGCAAAACATGACATAATCTTTCTTACGTGAGCATCATAGATATTTTATTCCCTTGCTTTTTAGTATATTTTTAAGTTCTACAAATAATAAATTTGCTTTGCCATACATTAGAAAACATTTTAATTGGCCAATTAAGTATATTTTTTAACCATATCTTGTACGTGAGACACTTTTAAGTTTAAACGGTTTAAAACTGATGTATCCTCCTAGTTAATGACTATCATTAGTATCATAAGACTTTTTGCTAAATATATTGATCCAATACATATGAATGTAAATGTAATGGAGTTTTACGCCACTGTACAAACTTTTACCGTAAACTATTCTATATATTTATTTAAGGTTTAAATAGTTCTTAAAAATATTTTTTTTTATTTAGCCTTTATAATTTTATATTTTTTAAAAGATAATTTTAAAAAATACTTATATTATCAATAAATAAATGTTAATATAATACATCATATTATATACAAATTTATAATATTTTAAAATATAGTTTAACTTTTGTTTGATAAAAATAATAATAAGATATCATGTATTGATTAGAATACGACTATAATATATTTTTTATAAAATTTGGTAATCTATTTTTTATGAGTTATTTTTTTAATATAGTGTTGAAATATATCTTGTTTTAAATATTAAGTAATTTGTAAATATTTTTTTAATATAAGTTAAAATGTCACACATTTACTAAGAATATAGTTAAAATAATTTTAATAAGAACTTGAAAACCATTCTCTATTCCAAGAAATATCCATATATAAAGAAAAAATATATATAATTTTAACATATAGCATATTGACTTACATCCATAAATATTCATAACAATTTTATTATTTTATAATTTTTAAGTAAATAAAAGTATACATTATTTTATTTAAAAATTTTAAATAAATAAAATTATAATTAAACTCCAGCAATTATATCAACAAACTCTCACTATTATAATTCTTGGACAAATTCTTATTTTGGATAAAGTCTTCTTATTAAGTATTTTAATGTAACCTTTAATGACTCACTTTAACCTAACCATAACTATCAGAAAGTTAGAATAAGAATACCATCTATTGAAACTTAATATGAGCTAAATTTTTAAATAGAGTTAAAAATTGATGGCGATGTTATATGTATTGGAAAAAAGAAAAAAAAAACAAGTCAATGAAGAATTAGAGTATGTTTAATTTATTTTTTTAAAATAATTTTTAGCACAAAGTTGATAGAATTGTCTTTTGAAAAATATTTTTAATATTTTTTTTTATAATTAATGCTTGCTATTTTTTTTATTTCGAACTAAAAATGTTTTTGTATTATTCATACAAGTTAAAAAATTTAAAAATAATTCATATAAGAATATTTTATTTATGTATTAATTTTTAAAATTATTATATTGTAGATATATAAAAAATAGTAATATAATAATATCTTATTTTATTTCATTAATTTTATTCTTCTGTTATATAGCTAATTGACTAATGGCATGAAAGGTAGAAACATTAGGTCTTGTGAGCAATTATTCTAAAATGCATCTACTACAGTACCTGACATGATTATAAATCGTTAAATACAGAAAATGAACATCAGTTAGATGTTCAAAGTCACCGCACCGTGTGTTAATTATTTCTCTTCGTGATTTGCATAATTCCTTGTGCCTTAACGAAGCGACTAAGACTGTTATTTAATTATTAATAGACGCGTTTCACTATCAGTATATTTGTTCTTTCTCATTTCATTACTTCGTGTATATATTTGTTTTTGTTTTGCGTTTTTTTAGTTAAACTGCGAGTTATAATTCTCTTCCAAGTATTTTACCATTTATACTTTCATATTTTATAAATTAGTTCTAGTTTGTCATAATATTCTTATAAAAATTTAGAAATTAAAAAATAATAAATATAAATATTATTTCAATTGTTAAATACTGCTATAATTACCATCATTTAATATTTCTAAAATTATTAAAGTAGCAAAGAACCAGTCCCGTATAACAAATTTAGTTGAGTGTTTTTAAGATGATAAAATCAAAATCGGTGCATCATTAACGAAGAATTTGTGTTTTTTGTTTTATAATCAAATTTGTGTAAATTTTTTTTGTTCACTTTCAAGTTCATTCAATGAAGTGAGCACGACATGCTTGACTTGTTTCAAGAAAAAAAAAATGAAGTTCTTTATACCTTATATATATATATATATATATATATATATATATATATATATATTAATAATTAAATAAAAAACTTAAATATTATTTATATTTTAAAAATAATAAATAAATGGAGATTAAAATTTTTTTTTTTACAAAATAGTAAAATTTAGAAATTATTTTTCTAATTTGTATGCAAAGACAAGGATGTTCATGAGTTTTGTTAATCTAATCAACCTAACCAATCCAACTTAATTAAAAACTAATGGGTTAATTTCACGAAGTAGGGGTTGATGTGTGAGTTTGCAATGTTAAAATTTGATCTAACCCTAATATTGTGTTTAGTCAATGTCTTTCGTACATGGGTCTTTTTTCTATTAACCCTGCACCGTTCAACTTTTAAATATTGTATATTGTCTTAAATTGTAAGATAAATATTGAATTTTATACTTTTTTTATAATTGTTTTTTATTTTGTACCTCTTTAACTTCTTATTTAAGATTAATATTAAACTATTAGTATAATATTATATTTTATAATAAATACTCTCTCATTTATCTTAATAGATTTGTTACATGAGATGTTAAGATTAAGTCATTAATTGTATACAAAATTTTTATTATTTTTAAAAGAAATTTTTTTAATCAAAATCAACTCAACTCTTCTACAGAAATTCTAGGTTTTATTAGTTTTTATATCAAAATTCAACAAATCCATCCCCCGAACACTTTCATCAAAGACACATGTTCCAAAAAATTAAATAACTTAAAATTTATTTGTATAATTTTTTGTGAACAAATAAAAAAGATATAACAAAACTTTATTTGTTTAACATTCAAGAAATTGAACTTAAAAATATTTAAAAAATCATCAATTGCTGTATAAATGTGTTTCCATTGTCGTTGAATGTTTATGCCGTGTCAATTAAATGATATTGAATGGTGCCAACTAACGTCTTTACACTTGATAGAAAATGCTAACCAGAATTATGTAAACGTGTTTACATTGATGAAGATGTTGTTTAAATTTTAGGGAAAATTCTTTTTTATTAAAATATGATAAATGCTTTTTTCTATAATTTTTAACATATTTTTATGAATTTTTAACAATATATTATTATTTTTTATGTGCACAAATACAAAAATATGTAACAAAACTTTAACTGTTGAGGAATTGACCTTAAAAACATATAAAGAATGGTCAATTTTGTATTAATGTGTTTACATTGTGCTTCAGTGATTATGTTTTGTCACTTAAGACAATGTTTACATCAATTGTTGTAGAAATGTGTTTACATTGTCATTCAACGAATACGACTTATCTTAACCGTGTAAAGGATTTGATAAAATTAACTTCGTAAGAAAATACTAACCATAATTACGTGACAAAGAATCTGTTGAAATTTTATGAAAATCTATTTTATTAAAACAGGATGTAAATGATAAATGTGTTTACATTGATGAATAATTATGTATTTACGTTGTTAAAAATTTGTTATTAAAATAGGACAAATGCTTATAAGTTTAATATCTTTTAATGAATTTTTAAATTTGTTTTTTTATTTTGAATCAATATTTTCAAAACTCCTTATAGAACGCGTAGTTATTATTATTTTTTTTAAATTTTCTATACATTTTCCTCCATTAACAACATTTTTTAACGCAAAATATCTGTTTAGACCACAGTCCACAGAGAATCGACTACTGTAGTAGTCTACTTTTTCCTGTTCAATGTTGGTGTTGGAATTATGCTGCGTAAGCACTTTGGATTCAATTTGGAATTAGCATTTATGTTTTTTTCCCACTTTGCTGAACTTTGCATTAAAGGGGTGTTCTGCAAGTTACTTTATGTTCTTTGTATTTGATTTGCTTAAGCTCGTCAATACATTTGGACATTGGGAAATTTAAGCTATATAGAATATGGCAAATTGATTTTATAATTTGAAAATGAATTTATTTTCACAATTTAAATCTTATTAACATACAACAGAACTGTCAATTTTATTTTATTTATCTAATACATTCAATATTCATTTTTCCATCTTGATGATTATTGTCCTGTGGAACATAAGAAGGTATAGTCATTTTCCCCATTGTAGTTATAAGCAAAAGAAGAGGTGAGTTATGAGAATTTAGTTTATGTTTTTTATTATAATAATATGCAATTGTTTAGATATATTGAAGTCCTGAGTAAATTATATCTCATGTACGAGTTTGTAATTTTATTTATTTAAAAATTATGTAATTTTATATAATAAAAATTACAAAATAATAAAATTATTTGAAAGTCGGGGGATGTAAGTGTAAAACTACATTAAATATGTGTTATTGCTTTTTTGTTTCTTTATTTTTATATAACTGCTTTTAAAGATAAAGAATTTAGATGGCTCTCTTATTTTATTTTTTTTAAATTAATATAATTTTAGGTAATATTTATTTTACATTATAAATGATGACGATGAAGTGATTTGATAATATTTGTTATTTTTATATTTGCTAGACAGATATTTGATGTTTTAAAATTTAATGTGCTTAAAAATTTATTATTAACATAATCATTTATCTTTCATACATATTAAAATAGATTTTGAAAAATATCTAGTAAAAAGTTCATTTGTATAAGTTACAGTGCAAAGGACTTAACTTGTTCTGTCATTTTAGAAACTTGAATTAATTTTTTTAGTTTAACTTGCATTAACTTGCTACTCAAAGTAAGGTCGGAGCTAAGTAGCCTAAATTAATAGTTCTACTTGTAGTTCATAGATAAAAAAATAAAAATAAAAATCTC